AGACCTTGCCTCCTGATCCTTCTCAGGTAGCACCTCTCCTTAACAACCATGCATTTAATAGGAGCCTAAGAGCGCCATTTTCATTTAAACCACTGCAACTAGGAACTGAACTTGGGTTATAAGGAGAGATCCCACAGAGCCATTGCATCTGGCTTGAATTCCGGAGTGATAGCACCCAGGCTTTGAGCACCTTTTATAGTGACTATGATATAGAAATGAATACTTGGTATGGACTTCAGTTTATTGACACAAATTTAAGATAAATTTTGTTATATGCATATTTCTACTCTTGTTTAAGGTTTTATATTTATACAGCTCTAAAAATGTAATGTATAATTAAAATTACAGATTAATAGATAGTCATTTATAATAATCAAACCTGTAGTTGTGTTAGATTTTCTAGATATATTTCTAGAGATATATTTCAGCTAGATAATCTCCAACATTTCAAAGACCTATAGAATATGGCATTTAAAAAGTTTTAAGAACTTAAACTTTTCTCAACAGTGAGACATGTCTGCTTCTGGCACATCAATTACTTCAGAGAGGTTGATGAGCATTGAAGAAGCTTGTTATGAAATTTGCCTTCAGTGTGACAAGGCTAGCCATTTGGGTAAGAAACTGCTCTTGTCTGGACTACTTGGCGGTGTGCTGTATGAATGAGACATGCAGGACATGCAGAAAATGACTGCTAAACTTGCCAAAAGAAGGTGAGACAGTCCTTCAGGGTTCCTGCTTCATAAAAGAGTCTACTAGACATTCTCTACAGCACACAGAAGAAAGTGACTGACAAACTGCCAATATAGGTAAAACATTCTTTCTTGATGGAATTGAAGAATAGATAACTATAATTTTAGCTTTCCTTAGTTATGACAAAAGGTAAAGTACATATAAATATTGTAACTGTAACTTTTGGTTGATAACTGTTTTGCCATATGTAATCTTCCTATGTTAAAATTAAAATCTTCCTTTTTAATTAGACAGAAAAGGGGAGGTGATGTGAAATTCCCCTCTGTATGCAATGAATATGTTTTACTGCCATTGCTTAATAAAAGAAGAAGCTGTTTTGGCCTATAGCAGGGCAGAATAGCCAGGCTGGAATATATATATATATATATAGAGAGAGAGAGAGAGAGAGAGAGACTAGGTGAAGTCAGAGATGCCATGTAGATGCTGGAGGAGAAGTAGGAGAAGTATGCATGGCATCGTTACCAATAAACCACAAGCCTCGTGGTAAAATATAAAGTAATATAAATGGGTTAATTTAAGATGTAAGAACTAGCTGGAAATAAGCTTAAGCTATTGCTTAACAGTATTGCAATTAATATGTTTTCTGTGTGATTATTTTGGGTCTGGGAGGCCAGGAAACAAAGGAGCAGCCTCCACCAACAATGACGTAACTGGCGATCAGTTCATCAGAAGCTGGCTCGCCATGCTGCCTTTTGCTAAGCCTGTATTATATTCTGGAGTGACCCCGTGTCTTCGATGGTCCCATGCAAAACAGAACCCCGACACTGGATCCTCTGCAAGAGCAGCCAGTGCTCTTAACCACTGCCCTGTCTCTCCAGTTCTACAGATTTACATTCTCTGTTAGAATTTCCATATCAGAAACCAGACATAACGCTACTTGTCTGTGATTCCAACACTTAAAGTTCTGAGGCAGGAGGATCAGGAGTTCAAGGCCAGTCGTAGCTCCTTTGAATCTGAGACCAGTTTGAGATATGAAAGCCTGTCCCGAAAAACAAAAAGGGCCTGGAGAGATGGCTCAGTGGTCAAGAGCTTATGCTGCTCTTCTAGAGGTCCTGAGTTCAATTCTCAACACCTTTGTTATGTAGATTACAACTCTAGCTCCAGGGGCATCTGATGTCTCTGGCCTCCCAGGCACCGCCACACACAGACACAAATACACATGATTAAAAATAATAAAAATAAATCTTTATCAAAACAATGAAAAAACCCACAACTCTTTTATATCAGACTTGGCAGAGACTGAGTAGTTAAAAGTACTTGCTGTGTAACATGAGTTCAATCTCTGGAGTCCAAGGTGGAAGGGCCAAGTCCTGAAAACTGTCCTCTGAGCTCTACATGCACATGTATGCAGTATATACATGTGTGTGTGTGACTGGATGTATCATTTATATTCCGTGTAAAAGTGGGAAGAGAGCCACCTTCACAAGGCTTTTCTCTGACCTATACGTGCACACACTACACATAAAATAATTTGTGAGGCAAAGGCAGTTGGATTTCTGTAATTTCTCTAACTTCAAAGCCAGCCTGGTCTACACAGTGAGTCCCAGGCCAGCCAGGGCAACATGGTGAAATCATTTTAAAGCTGTGTGTATACCAGAGTGCATGGGAGATCAGAGGACGGTCCCCAGGAGTTGGCTCTCCACCTGGTGGATCTGGGGCACTGAACTCAGGTCATCAGGCTCGGTGGCAAGGACCTTCACCCAGTGAGCCAGCTTGAAGGCACTCCGCCTCATTTTCTGAGAATAAGTCTCACTGAAGTTGGAACTTGCTATTTAGGCTAGGCTGGCAGCTCAGCAAGCCCTAGAAACCCTCCTCTCAACCTTCCCAGAGCTAGAATGGGACTAAGACACATGCTGCCACATTCAGGGGTGCACATGCATGTGTGCGCGCACGTGCGTGTGTGTGTGTGTGTGTGTGTGTCACGGCCCATGTGGGGGCCAGAGTTCAAGTGTGTCTATGTAAGTGAGGGCCCATGTGGAGGCCAGAGTTCAGGCATGTGTGTGTGTGTCTGTGTATGTGTCAGGGCTCAGGCATGTGTGTGTGTTAGGGGGCCCATTTGGAGTCCAGAGTTTGGGTATGTGTGCATTTGTGTATGTGTGTGTATATGTGTGTCAGGGCCCCTGTGGAGGCCAGAGTTCAGGTGAGTGTGTGTGTGTGTGTGTGTGTGTGTGTGTGTGTGTGTGTGTGTGTTAGGGGGCTATGTGGAGTCCAAAGTTCAGGTGTGTGTGTGTAAGTGTGTGTGTACGTGTGTGTGTGTGTGTGTGTGTGTGTGTGTGTTAGGGGACCATGTGGAGTCCCGAGTTCAGGTGTGTGTGCATGCATGTTTATGTGTGTGTGCATGCGTGTGTATGTGTGTTTTAGGGGGCCCACATGGAGGCCAGAGTTCAGGTGTGCGTGCATGTGTGTGTATGTGTGTGGGGGGGGCCACATGGAGGCCAGAGTTCAGCCTTCAGGGGTTATCCTTACCTTTCTACTTCTGAAGTGGATTGCTCTGCTGCTTCATAAACCAGCTGGTTCTGGAGCCTTGGAGAGTCTCCTGTTTCCACACCTTGTTTCCTGAAGGTGCCCAGTGTGATTAGAGATGCTCTTACAGGAGTGTGGGGATGTGAACTCAGGTCAACAGGCTTGCAGAGCAAAGGCCTCTACCCACTGAGCTTTCGTTTGTGGGTGCTGGGAACTGAGCTTAGGTCCTCATGGGCTATATGGACTGAGCCATCTCCCAGTCTGGCCCTTTCTCTTTCCTCCCTTCCTTTGGTTTCTGCTATGTTGTATGTCAGGCTGCCTTAGCCTCCCAAATGCTGGATTAGAGCTGTGAGCCATCCTGCCTGGCAGAATTCATTGTAGTGTCTTAGAAGTTCCCAATTGAGCCAGGTGGTGGTGCACAGACCTTTAATCCCAGACCTCGGGAGGCAGAGGCAGGCAGATCTCTGTGAGTTCGAGGTCAGCCTGGTCTACAAGAGTGAGTTCCAGGACAGGCTCCAAAGCTACCAAGAGACCCTGTCTTAAAAACAAACAAAAAACAAAACAAAAGTTCCCAATTATGCTAATTTTATGTCATCTTGACACAAGCAAAGGTCATCTGAGAGAAGGGAAACTCAACTGAGAAAATGCCCCCATTCGATTGGACTATTGGCAAGCCTGTAGGGCGTTTTGCTGGGGGAGGGCCCAGCCTATAGTGGGTGATGCCATCCTTGGGCAGGTGGTCCAAGGTTCTACAAGAAAGCAGGCTGAGCAAGCAATGGGGAACAAGCCAGTAAGCAGCACCCCTCATGGCCTCTGCATCAGCTCCTGCCTCCAGGTTCCTTCCTAGTTTGAGTTCCTGCCTTGACTTCCTTCACTGATGGACTATAATGAGTAAGTGAACGCCGAATAAACCCTTTCCTCCCCAAGTCGCTTTGGGTCATGGCTTTCATTACGGCAATCGTAAGCCTGACTCAGACACCAAGCATCAGGAAATGACTGGAAACGGAATTGCTGCTGCAGCGGAACCCTCACCTACTTTTGGTGTCGATTGACTAACTGGGAGATGCTAGAGAGAAACAATCCTCACTTCGCCACAACCTCTCCACTAGAGAGAAACAACCTCTCCACTTCCCCACTTCCTTCAAGGCTGGAATATTAGAACTCTAATTCTCATTCTCCAGTTCTTTAGTTGTGTGTCCCACAGACAAGGGAGGGGACTGAGGATAGGATCAGTGGACAGCCGGAGTCGGTCATCCAAGGCTTTCATTCCAAATAGGGTCATTTCTCTGACGTCTTTGTAAGGACAGCCAGAAAATGCTCAGAAGACAAAGAATATTCTTAGAATCAAAACTTGGGAAAGTTGACAAAGACTGTGGAAGATTCAGACAGACACTGCCAAGCCATCTGAATGGGTGGAAAGATAATACTGACCACCGGACACCCCTCAACACAAGCTCTCCCTGAACTCAGTAATTAGAGTAGCGGCTCTGCATGACGTCACTCCACAGGCGCTCCAATCCCACGTGGGAGGAGCAGTTGCTCCCGCCTCTAAGTGGGACGCCGCGCCCTGTTCTTTCTATGACCAGTCAAATACTGCCTTTTGGTTTCTTTCCTCCTTTTCCCGCCATCCAGCCCTCCCATCTTGACCCGCTGGTCCAATCACAGAGGTCCTGCCATCCCAAGCCCTCTAGTTTCTCAGGTCTGCGCGGCGCGAACCAACCCCAACGGGCAGGGGCGGGGCGGGGCGTAGCTTGAGGTCCCCGGGAGCACTATATATTCGGGGGGGAGAGCTGGACAGACCCGGCGCTGCTGCAGCTAGTCTGGAGGGTGCCCCGCGAGTCTGCCCCATGGAGCGCTCCCCTGAAGAAGAGGGCGCCAGCCCCGAACCCGCGGGGCAGCCCCCTGCCACCGACACCACGCGGGACCCGGGCTCGGGGATCCCACCCGCTGGCCCAAGTGCTGCGAGCGAGGCCCTGGCGGTGCTGTCTTCCTTCGGACGGCGCTTGTTGGTACTGGTGCCCGTGTACCTGGCCGGAGCTGCGGGTCTTAGCGTGGGTTTCGTGCTTTTCGGCCTCGCCCTCTACCTGGGCTGGCGCCGGGTCCGCGACGGGAAAGCACGGAGCCTGCGGGCAGCGAGGCAGCTGCTGGATGACGAGGAGCGAATCACAGCAGAAACGCTTTATATGAGCAACCGGGAACTACCTGCTTGGGTGAGTTGCCACTTCAGCCCTTGGTGCGGTATAGCTCTTCCTAGTCCTTCAACTCGGGCTCTCCCTCCCTATGAAGTCAGCTCCCCGAGTTGGGACCGTGGCCGGCCCCCCCCCCCCCCCCCCTCGTCCCGTTAGCGTTTGCTTGCTGGAACCAATACCCACCCTCTCCGCCCACCCTTGCCGCAGAGCGGATGCTTCCATCGAATCGGGACTTCTTCCTCAGTCTACTCGGACTACGGCAGTCCCAGCCCCGGCTCCCTCCCAGCCAAACGTGTAGAAAGCTCACTGTTCCTGACTTCTGGCGTCACTCGCGCCTTTGCCACGCTGCCTCTGGGGATCCCTTCACCCCACCCCCGTGATCGCTCAGAGGTTCCCCGGCTTTGCTAGCTCTTTCAAGGCTTTTTATCTACTTAAGGGCATCAGGGCTTCCCGTTTCCTGCCTTGTCCCTAGGTACCCGCTGAGACCCAACCCTGCAAGCATTGTTCAGCACCTGGAAGTGACCCACCGCAGTCGCCTTCCAGGGAGGGAGGCAGAGCAGCCAAGGCAGCTGCTGGGCCAAGGGAGGGGGTGCTGGGAAGAGAGTAGTGTGGCTGCTACAGTTCCCGCTGCTCGCTCTATTCGCACCCTGGGCGGCCCCACCCTTTTCCGGACTGTGGGCCACCTTCGCTTGCTTGCTTAGCTGACCCAGACCAGTATTTCAGTACCCTGTCTCCTGGGCTGAAAGAGATGCCTCTCTGGCCTTGCTAAAGCTGAGCGGGTTACCAACCCCTCCCTGGTACCCTTTCCAGGAGAGGTACCAGTTAGGTAGAGAGTGGCAGACACAGTCACACTTACCATGCCCTGGAGAGAAAAAGGAAGAAATGGTTCCATCTACCCCAAGCAACAACTATTACTCCTTCTCCCTCCCCGCTCCATGCAGAGCACAGGTGTCCTTTCCCATAGAAGGAGTTACCCAGGAAGAGAGAGAAAGGAGGTAGCGAGGATGGAAGCGAGGCGAGAGAGAGGACCTCTGCAGAGGCTTGCTTGCTTGCGCAGGCACTAGCGCACCAGGCCTAAGTAGCTCTTCCAGCCCCTCCCTAGGCTATCAAAGGGTTGTTTCTTCTCCTTCACCTTCTTCTATGGGAGCCCACGCCCAGTCCCAGGAGAGCAGGGAAGGCTGGACAAAAGAACCAGGACTTCTTCGTCCCAGGATTCCCTGGAGCTCTGATTTGACAGGATCTCCCGAGAAAGAATGTGCCCTTCTCTTTAAGACTCCTCCTCCCTCCTCCTCCTTTGCCCCAGAAGCTGCCATTTCTCCTCTCCGCACTCTCTGAAGCCTCTGCATGTATAGCCCTACATCCTGCCAGCTCCCCTCTCTAAAGAAGCCTGAGTGGCCACATTCTAAAGACAGAAGTCTCCTGCCCCCCGGATTGTATGCTTAAATCTGTATTAAAACCTTTTTCTTACTGGGCGTGGTGGCATAAAGCTTTAATCCCAGCACTTGAGAGGCAGAAGCAGGTGGATCTCTGTGAGCTGGAGGCCAGCCTGGTCTACAGAGTGAGTTCCAGGTCATCCAGGGCCACACGATGAGACCCTGTCTACAAACAGAACACAACTTTGTGCTGTCTTTAGACATAGCCTAGTAGCCCTCCTGCCTCTACCTTCCAAGTGCTGGGAATGGTTTGTGTCCCTAAACCCAGCCACCCCCCCCCCTTTTTTTTTGCTTTAAAAGGAAGGAAGAGGAAAAGAGAGGGAGGGAAGAGAACCCAGCACACCCTTGGCGTGGGGAGTCCCTGCCAGAGGGACATGTTGCATCTCTTCTGCATGCACCCACTGCCCTCTTAGGAAGCATACATGTAACGTATACTTACCCCTGACTCTGCTGTTTCCACTTCCAGGTCAGCTTTCCAGATGTGGAAAAGGTTGAATGGCTAAACAAGGTGAGGACTGTCTTGGCTTTGATTTTTCCTGAGTGGGATTTATTACTCTTTCGAGACCTTCTTACACCTCAACTCTAGTTGAGCCTAGTCCCCAAAGCTGCACATGGAGGTGGCTCTATCTTCCTGCTGCAAAGGTAGCTCAGACTCCTGACCCTCCCAGCTTAGCATCACTCCTCCAAAAACAGCTATGTGCTGTCAGGACCAGGTAGAGCTTGCCTTTAGACCAGTGGTTCTCAGCCTTCTTAATGCTGTGGTGACCCCCGACCATAAAATTATTTCCATTGCTGCTTCATAATCGTAATATTTTGACTGTTATGAATCGTAATGTAAATATCTGTGTTTTCTGATGAAAGGGTCGTTCGACCCCTGAGGGTCGTGGGTGAGTGGACTCTCCTCTGTTTTCTTTTCCGCCCAGATTGTGGCCCAGGTGTGGCCCTTCCTAGGCCAGTATATGGAGAAGCTCCTGGCTGAAACGGTGGCCCCAGCTGTGCGGGGCGCTAACCCCCATCTGCAAACGTTCACGTTTACGCGAGTGGAGCTGGGTGAGAAGGTGCGGCAGGAAAAAATGGACCAGGGTTTGGGGAGGCGGCAAGGGCTGAGTTGCTCCTTTCCTCCTGCCTCTTCTGAGACCACCTCTCTTTAGCCAGTACGCATCATTGGCGTCAAGGTTCACCCTAGTCAGAGAAAAGATCAGATTCTGTTGGACTTGAACGTCAGGTAACTCACCCCCTCCCCATTCCCTGTGGGTGGGTCCTGGTCTCTCCGCTGAAGCCTAGCATAAACCTTTATTTTCTTCCTCACTGCCTGCCAGCTATGTAGGAGATGTCCAGATTGATGTGGAAGTCAAGAAGTATTTCTGCAAAGCAGGAGTCAAGGGCATGCAGGTAGGGCAGGCGTTGGGGGTTCGTTAGGAGAGCCCGAGGTTTCATGGGCTCTGGAGTGAACAGTCAAGGCTGGGGAAGTGCGGGAGGACACGGGGCCTCTTCTAGAGAAGACTCTGATCTTCCTGCTCTTCTCACCCTAGCTACACGGTGTCTTGCGGGTGATTCTTGAGCCACTCACAGGGGACCTTCCTATCGTGGGGGCTGTGTCGATGTTCTTTATCAAACGCCCGGTAAGAGAGGCCATTGGTGGGAAATGGGCAACAGGCTTGTGGGTGTTGGGAAGAGAGGGAGCTGGTATAGAGGTAGCTAAAAGGATTAAGAAGACTGAGTGTAATGGTTCCCTAAGAGCCACCCTGACTCTTCTGAGTGTGACCATGCTCCCTGAGAGCCATCCTGACTCTTCTGAGTGTGACCATGCTCCCTGAGAGCCACCCTGACTCTTCTGAGTGTGACCATGCTCCCTGAGAGCCACCCTGACTCTTGTGAGTGTGACCGTGCTCCCTAAGAGCCACCCTGACTCTTCTGAGTGTGACGGTGCTCCCTGAGAGCCACCCTGACTCTTCTGAGTGTGACGGTGCTCTCTGAGAGCCATATTGACTCTTCTGAGTGTGACGGTGCTCCCCGAGAGTCATCCTGACTCTTCTGAGTGTGACGGTGCTCCCCGAGAGCCACCCTGACTCTTCTGAGTGTGACAGTGCTCTCTGAGAGCCATATTGACTCTTCTGAGTGTGACGGTGCTCCCTGAGAGCCATCCTGACTCTTCTGAGTGTGACCGTGCTCCCTGAGATCCACCCTGACTCTTCTGCCCTTTTCTTCCAGACACTTGACATCAACTGGACAGGGATGACCAATCTGCTGGACATCCCAGGACTTAGGTACTGGGGACCTTTGAGCACCTTCCCAGTCAGTATCACAGTCCAGGGCTGAGGGTTTAGAGACTCAAAGCAGTGAAGCCTCTGCCTCTGCCTTCGAGACCTCATTGCAGTGGGGAGATTGGACATGAAGTTTCGGAATGGGGTTTTTTTCTTCTGTGGAGGAACATGCATGAGGGAATGGAGACTCCTCAAGCAGGGGAAGAAAGAACAAGGAAGGCTGGGAATAGCAAAGGGAACCAGGGCCTGAAAGGAGCAAGAAAGATTCTCAAAGTCTCCCGCTCTGGTGAGATGGCTCAGTGGGCAAAGGCGTTGGCTGCCAACCTGATGGGTTCCGCACGCTTGTCCTCTGACCTCCACACATAGCCCATATGGCATACGTGTGCACACACATATGAAACAAATGTAATTAAAGAAAGACAAAGACTACTTCCTAAGCTAGGTGTGGTGGCACACACCTGTAATCGTAGCACCTGGGAGGTGGAGGCAGGAGGCGGTCAGGGCAGGCATGGACTATGTAACAAACCCTAACGAGGAGTTCAGGGCCAGCATGGGCTACATAACAAACCCTAACGAGCAGTTCAAAGCCAACATGGGCTACATAACCAACCCTAATGAGGAGTTCAGGGCAGGCATGGGCTATGTAACAAATCCTACGAGGAGTTCGGGGCTAGCACTAGCACGGGCTATGTAACCAACCCTCACCCAGCCAGGGATCCCCAGCGAGACCTAAAAGGCTGAAACCTTCTCTGCGCTGGGAACACAGCTGAGTGGGGGGGAACTTGAACCTTTCCTCTTCCTACCCCCGTTCAGCTCCCTCTCCGACACCATGATCATGGATTCTATTGCTGCCTTCCTTGTGCTGCCCAACCGACTGCTGGTGCCCCTTGTGCCTGACCTTCAAGATGTGGCCCAGTTACGCTCCCCACTACCCAGGGTATGGCATCTGAAGAGACCCCCAGGGTTTGGCATCTGAAGAGACCGGTCTCTCTCAGGGGCCCAGGCTGGGTTCTTCGAGTCTCACCATTGGTTCCTAACTCCAGGGCATCATTCGGATCCACCTTCTGGCGGCCCGAGGGCTGAGTTCCAAGGACAAATATGTGAAAGGCCTGATCGAGGGCAAGTCAGATCCCTATGCCCTGGTTCGTGTGGGCACCCAGACATTCTGCAGTCGCGTCATAGATGAGGAACTCAACCCTCACTGGGGGGAGACTTACGAGGTAAGACGCTGTGGAGCGGCAGTGTGTGGTGGTGGAGAGACCCTCGCAGCTGCAGGCTGCAGCCCTGAGACCAGAGGCCACTGTGCTCCCCAGGTGATTGTCCACGAGGTCCCGGGGCAGGAGATCGAGGTGGAGGTGTTTGATAAAGATCCAGATAAAGACGATTTTCTGGGAAGGTGAGACTGCGCGTTTTAGATTCTAAAGTCCCAGTGTTCCCAAGATTCTGAAAGTAGTAGAGCGCGCGCTCTCTCTCTCCCTCTCTCTCTCTCCCTCTCTCTCTCTCTCCCCCCTCTCCTTCTTCCTCTCTCCCTCTCTCTCTCTTCCTCCCCCCATCTCTCCCTCCTTCCCTTAGTGTAAGATCCTCTTGGGGCTGGAGAGATGGCTCAGCCCGTAAGCATGTGTACCACTCTTGCAGAGGACCCAAGTTCAGGTCCTAGCACCCATGGGAGGCCCACAATCTCCTGTAACTCCAGCTCCTGGTCCCCTGGCCTTCCAGGCACCTTCACTCATGCATATACCCCACACAGAACCCACACAGACCTCACACAGTCCCCACACACAGACCCCACACAGAACCCACACAGACCCCACACAGTCCCCACACACAGACCCCACACAGAACCCACACAGACCACACACAGTCCCCACACAGACCCCACACAGACCCCACACAGACCCCACACACAGACCCCACACAGTCCCCACACACAGACCCCACACAGTCCCCACACACAGATCACACACAGACCACACACACAGACCACACACAGTCCCCACACAGACCCCACACACA